TGCAATTTTTTAATTAAAAAAAAAAGTCTGCAATTTGTCATATAAATTATTAAAATTTATTTTCTGCCAATCCATTCCAGTTGGTGCCCCGTAATTTAATGGCCTTTTTGACTTTTGATAATTCAACATTCGATTTTTTTCAACAAAGTTTGAAAGTATTTTTTTTGCAGGTGAAAACAAGTCAATTCTCATGCAATTAGTGAAGAACCATTTTCAGCAACTTGAAACGTGTTAATAGTATTTATTTTAAGGCGTCGATACTTTTATATTTATAATATTTTAAATATCACATTAAGTTAGAATCATTTTTTTGGTGATTATACTCTACTACAATTCAATTATTTCAATAATATTTTATTTTTCGTTTTTCAATATGTATTTAATTTGATAAATGTATTAAATACTATAATTAATTCTCAATTAATTAACATTTACATTCATTTAATTAATATTAATTAGAATTTCACATCCTATTTTCTGTTATTAATTCTCTATTAATTAACATTAACATCAACATTCATTTAATTAATATTAATTATAATTTTACGTCTATTTTTCTGTCATTAATTCTCAATTAATTAACATTTAGGTTCATTTAATTAAGATTAATTAGAATTTCAGATTCAAGAATGTAGTTCATTATTCATGTCCATGAATTCTAATTAGCATCAATTTTCACTTAATTGGAAATTAAATTATATTCATTTAATATAAACGATTTAAGATTCATTGTCACGTATATATTTCTTGATATTAATACTAAATTAATTAACATTACGTTAATTCATTTATCGTATTTATCATTCATGCATTTAGTTGTAATTCTAATACTTAATTACATTCAAGTATGTATTTCATTATTTATGTTCGTGTATAATAATTAAAATATATTTTTAGAGACTTACGTTTCTCTTATATTTTGATCAAAAGGATAAATGAAGGATCAAATATTATTTTCACGACACTTATAAAACATTTCAGAATAAGTGCAACACACGTCACTCTGACTAGTTCCAATAAAATCGAAGAAATCACATAGGGTCTTAGCTTTGTTCACTCTTGGGATATTTTAATGTATAATATTCCCATTTGTATCTTTAAATAAGAGTTATATATATTTTAGGATGTGATGGTAATGGAATGAATAATTATATCAATGAATAATAGATTGGATATTTATGTCATTTTGCTTGCAGTTATTTAAGTAAATAAGAAAATTATGGTGTACTAATACTTATTGTAGTGATACTACAACAACCCAACTAAAAAATTATTTTAAAAAAATGATGAAAATACCCTTAAACCATAATGATGAAAATGATTTTTTAGACAATTATTGCCCTACTACAATTCAATTCTCCATTAATTAAAATTCACATTCATCTAATTAATATTAATTAGAATTTCAAATTCACGGATGCACTTGATTATACACGTCCATATATGCTAATTAGTATTCAATTTCACTTAATTGTTGCATTTAGTTGTAATTTTAATACTCACATTCAAATAAGCATTTCACTATTTACGTGCTTGGATAATAATTGACATTTATTTTTAGGAACTTGCATTTCTCTTATGTTTAGGTCAAAGGGATTAATACTTTCATGACACTTATAAAGTATTTCAGAATAACATGCAATGCATGTTCACCCTGACTATTTCAAACAAAAGTTGGTTAATTATGTGTAATTTGTCTTACGATAAATGGAAAATATATGGACTTTACGCCATTTATGTAAGATATTTAACTCTTTTTTTCCTATACATGATACTTGAGGAAATAATATTAACACTAATTCGAATTCAAGATTTAAGGCTTGTAAGATACGCTTTGACGATATTATGTAGCCCTTGTTTGAAAGGCATATTTTTGTGAAAAATGATTTTTTTAGATAATAT